CCCGCCAGGAGGTATTGTGGAGCTTCAGAACGGTGCAGATCTCCAGTCGCATTCCGTTACCCTGCAGAATCGATCGCTCCCGACGTGGACAATGCTACGAGTTCGGAATTACTGCTCGATCATTTCATGGAGAGCCTCCCGGAAAACTTCCAGGAGACGGCATGGATAATTAATGCCCAAGAGATCATGGACGTATTCAAACTGAGGGAGTTCACCTGGAAGAAAGTCACGCCTGTTCAGTCAACCGAAGACCCTAAATGCCAGCCTACAGGAGTTACGGCAACTCCCAAGGAACTAACGGAGGTGTCGGCCATCCAAACCGATTAAAAGACGCGGAATTTTTAGCTCCAAGAGTCAGATAGAAAAACTCCCTCGAAACACAGTGCAAATGGTCCGTGAGAGAACTGATCTCGTTCAAATCGTTGTCTCAAGACAAGGTCCCCTCCGGAACGGCTGATCGTCGTTCATTTCAGACCCATACAGAGTTGGGGGATCAGAAGGTACCATATTTGTTTGACAGACGCTGCGGAGGAACTTCAGACAACTGAGTCAGGAAAAGCCTCGGATACGGCAGTAAAGAAAGTTGGCGAATACGAGCCAAGTTGACAGTGCAGCAAATCGAACTTTCTCTAATAATAACACGACGGACAAGCAAAATTTTGCCAGACTGCATAATAAAACGATGAGCAAGTTAAAAATACCAGTGAAACGGAAACCAGGTGCACTTCTGAAAGTGCCAGAAGCAAAGTAAAAGCACCGTGTTGGAGGCCGTGTCGGCGACCTTGGATCAACGAAGTTACTCACTAGATGGTGAATTTCATGTAGAATACGGATAGAGAAGTTTCCGAAGAACATGTTTCAGGGGATAAGTGACAACAGGTGTGTTGTATCAAAGTGAATCAGATAGAGAGCACGATGACAATAGACGTACACCACAGAGTCGCCACAAATCAAACTCATCAGATCTTCAAAAGTCGTGCCATAAACAAATAGACATTCGAGAGATGCACCCTCAAAATAAATATGCCCAGTGACGCTGGGGACGTCTCTCGTACCAAACTCCCAAGTAACTTCATGATTGTCTTCTACGGCGGCAGTCACAGACATCCATGGAGCCAGCCGTAGTAAAAAAATTCAAACCCAGCATGTTAAGATCCTATGCTATGCTATTCAATAACCTTGAACATTATAATTTACCTATGGGAAAAATTCGAGTTGGATTCTTTGGGGAAGTCGAGGCGGTCCAAAATGGAACCTACTCTCGTTGTTGAAAACCGCTGCATTGCACTGACATGTGTTTTTGTCTATCTGAAGCAACTGTGTGTTGGTTGTCGTCAGTCATGGATAACTTATCAGTTTCCAGTACAGAAGTCGCGTTTTTCGTTGTANCTCATTGTGTCCCTTGAACGGAGATTTTCAAGTTTATCGAGGACTCTATTTTTATTGCACTGATTTGAAAATAGTTGTACTCATCACCCGTGTCTGTTCCGATATTACTAGACATCTTCGTCCATGATCAAATCCTTCTTTTCAAATCAGCAATAAACGTAGCTGCTGACCAGAAAATATTCAATTTTCTTGATATTTCTCTTCCGCTATTTTTTGGTCACTTGTACATAAAAATTCGACCGTTCTGCAGATCAGATAACGGCTTCCCACATATTATGTGCACGTAAGTGCTCTTTTGTGGATAGCGTCCTATCAGAGCTGCATGCGGTTTCTATAAAACATTATAGATTAAAACTATACTCTCACCCATTTTATCNATTTTATCAAACTAATGTTCTAAGCCAGTCAAGGTTGTTAAACTGTTAGAGGTCACTTCAACTGAGTTCGTTTCACGGTGGCCGTTAATTGTTTAGCGCTCGCTTTCGATTTTTGTGCTTTGTGCTAGTTCGCTCACTGCAATGCACGAAAATAGATGATCAGATGGAGAAACAGATAGTGTCCACTCGAAAATCTTATAAAGTACATTCGTCAATGAAATTTCAGACCAAGAAAAGCCATTCTGTACAGTTCATCAAGTCAGGGAGGTGTGTGACCCATTAAACCAAGTCGGTGTATTATATAATTGCGGCGTGTACTCCAAGGCTGCATCCGACGACAGAGAATATAGTTGGGCAAAGAGGATGGATGGTGAAAAAGGACAAAACACAGATGTTGCCATCATATAATCAAAAGTCCACGACCTAGCGCAAGGATTTTAGTCGATATATTCCGAAACAAAGACGAATTTGAATGCCAACGCACTGCAAAAAAATTACCCTAACATATATTCCCCAGAAAGGAAAATTGGTGACAAATTTTTTTTAACCAGTTCAAACAGCAGTGCTAAGTTGTTACCTGGACACCGAAACTCACTTCTTCAAAAAAGCTAGGCGGATCTGGTTCAATCTGCACAGAGTTTGAGGCATACGGACCCAGCTTATTGAGCAGGATCATGTCGACCCAATTCTCAAGGACCCCGTAAGAAGCTCGAGCGAGATTAGAGTGCAACTTTTCCGAATCCGGCTCATTTTTCTCATCCAGTTCGATCAAACGCTTTGCCCAGGACATTACCAGCTGTAAGGCAAAAGTGCGCGAGCAAGGAGACCAAGCACTGACAATCGTGTCGGCTAGAGGAGAGGACAGACTGCCCAGCATAAGTCGAACTCCACGGCCTTGACAAGCACTATGGTCCTGACAGGCACTGCATCTTGTTACTGACGTGTCGGAGTGACAAAAATTAATGCCATAGCATAGGCCATTCGAGGAGTGGCAACTGAACAGATCCGCGAATTGAATAAGTGTCGACCAGATATGTTGAAATGGAGTTAATTTATTGGACTGTGGAACAAAACGAAGGAAGATCCGATGAATCGAGGATGAGATTATGAAGCATTAGTGATTAATATTGTACATATTGTTAACGTCGAGACGATAAGCAGAATTCGCTTTACTGCAGTTCGCTGAACGGTTAAACTTTTAATTGGTCATGAATATAATGACGAACTCGAAGGCACTGGTGCTGTTGAAATATTTGGAAAATCAAAACATCGCACAAAAGAAACACAAGAACTACTCTGTCCCACAAATGTCTTCCAACTTAAAACATTCGAATCAAGACGGAACCTTGGATCCAGAACATGAGGCCACTTTGAAAGTGTAATCCGGTAGCAGTTGTCCTACTGCCATTCAAACGAAAAACCAGCCCAGAGCTCACAAGTCTTGGGCAGGATCAGTCACTATACTTACGAGATAAGTCCCTGTAACTGTGGGGTCAATTGGTTTCATTGTGCATAAAACCACGATGAGGCGTAAGTAATTCGGTATGCTTATTGCTAAGGTTGTCCACGGATGTGCATCAACCATGGCGGGACGTTTGCTTCCCTCAAAAACAAAGGCCGTCCATAAGAAAAAAGCGCATCAGAAACCGGAATACCAATTCACAGTAATTGATGATTATGAGGAAATACCTTCTGAGTATGACTTACTGGTAATGCTTTAAACTGCTGTAGTGAACTACTCACCAAACTAAAGGTTTGACCTCTTGCTCTGGAAACCACACTTTTAGATCAATATGTCAATTCGATCATTTACCTTTAAATTACAACAAACGAGTTTTATTCAACGCAGTGATGAGTCACAGTAAAGAAGGAAGTTAATAGAAATTTAGTTACAGGTAAAACAAACAGAGCTTGAGACTACTAGTGTTATAATTCCACAAGACAGTGCCGGGGTGAGGACAGGTTTATTAGGAACAACGAAGAGTATGGACAAATTGGTTTACATAAAAGGAAATGTCTTATCTTGAGCAGATTAATCAAAATCTCTACACACAAGCAGGCTATTTGATGGGACGATCTATCAGTAAATGTGCCTTGTCTGTAGTTACGATCATAAATACACTTATTCGGTCTATGCGGTATTGTTCATTTGTGACCATTTTAAGAAACCACAAATCGCGTCCTTTTGCGCGTTCCCAATCATAATGCTCACAAATGTGAGTACCTTATAACACGACAGAAAAATGACTCACGGTCACCAATTCATTCCACCAGATATTTTGCCTTCCATCAGCTCTAACAGTGGCTTCCGGAAAGCAACAAAATGGAGGTACACGATCACTTGTATGCCCGACATCGACCCATGCATTTGAAAGGGAGTGGACAAGCTTCTCGGCGAAAGAAAGCAACTTGGTTGGTTGAAAGGTGAACAACTTCTCCGGTACTAGCTCAATCACTGATTGCTCGTGAAACGTATTGCCACATGTGCACACAGAACGTTTGGAGCTAGTGCTACGCAACAACAAAGATTGCGAGACGGTTTCGTCCAAAACGGAATAGGAGATTGTGCGGAATTTGGCCATCCTTAGCAGAGAGTACTGAACTGAAAACAAGATTTGGGTGCGAATGGCAATATAGAAAGAGTGATATTTCAAACAAAACAACAGAGTGGCGAACAAGCTCGTTTTCAGAGATTCGTATTCATGCCAATACATCTCAATATATATCACTACTTTGGAATAAAATTGTCATGGGAAAATAAATTGAAATAAAAACAGATTTCATCGTGAGACCGGAAATCGGGTTCACCACGATCACATGTTTGTTTGTCCACTCATCCGACCACCGAGATTACTCACGATCGGTTTGTATGGGGGTATGCTATAGTATGGTATGGGTGAGTAATCTCGATGGTCGGATGAGTGGACAAACAAACGTGATCGTGGTGAATCCGATTTCCGGTCTCACGATGAAATCGGTTTTAGTAATCTGTTTTTATTTTATTTTAATTTATTTTCCCATGACAATTTTATTCCCAAGTAGTGACATATATTGAGATGTATTGGCATGAATACGAATCTCTGAAAACGAGCTTGTTCGCCACTCTGTTGTTTTGTTTGAAATGTGCTCTGTGGGATTACTTCAACAAAAACAGTGATATCCTTCGTAACTCTAAACAAGCGGAACCTGAGTACTAAGGTCCAAATACAGCGAAAAACATTCAAAACAATTTGCTTCAAAAAGAAAAACATAAACGTCTGTATTCTTGCTGGTGATCTGAGTGCCTAATGGAAGCAAAACCAGTCCAGCTGAACATCACCTAGGGCATTCTCGCTCCTTTAGCTGTGTCAGCATCACCATCATACAGCGAGATACAGAGAAATGTACTTCGATAATCACTGTCGAGCTCTCAATGTAAACAAAGTAAGTGAGAAAGTACAGAAAGAATAGGGTTTGGGCAAACAAAGTGAACCTCAATGGTCAGGACACAAAGTGCACAACCTAACTGTACATACACATCTTTTCAAGCCTTGTGACTTGATAAGAGACGACAACAAGAAGGCCACTACTTTTGATCCGCTGCCATATCCTTCGGTGTCTCCAATCAGCCAGTTGCCATTTTTTGGACCCTAACCTGGAAGATGGGAGACACTCAAACTGACTAATCGATTTGTGACCCGGGCATCCCTGGTTCGAACAGCTCCACCACTGCCCATTTCCCCCATTTCTGTATTTTCCCAGGTAGCTTTGTATGACCGCGGCCGCCTTCCTGAAAGTTGTTCGCATATTTGTACATTCAATAAATAAAAAAGTAAATCGAAATTTATTTATTTATTATTATTAATTTATGCACCTCCTCATGTCTCGTTTCCACCTCATCCGTATATTTATATTTGTTCACACACATATTGTGATGGAATGCAGTACAATGAGAGTCCTGGTTAGCGACCGAAGCAATAATGGGGCTCATCCGACCAGACGCAGCGGCGGGAAATGCCTCACGAGACAATGTTGACCGCCACCCGAAACGAGCGAATCGACAATGACAGCCCGACAGATAATCCGCAGCAAACGGGAAGGATACCCACCGAATGCAACAACGTCGGAGCTGTCGATCAACGCATCTCGTGTTGCGATCGGGTCAAACAAGTAGGAATGGCACGCGGAAGAAGAGGCTACGTATATGTCAAGTGCGGACCAAGACCAACAAGGAGTGACCCACAGAAAGAGGCATGAATCATCCCGCCGCGCGGTTGAGAATTGACTGTATATAATTGAACGCATATACTGTTTGTTTCTGAATTGGATCAATAGACGTATTTCCCAGCCACCTCGCCTTCTCGCTATAGTCCGAACGGCATCCCAACGAATTCTGATTGTTGCCCGTTAACACAAAATGCGGTTTTCTCTCTGTCGCTGGCTGCTACTGGTAGTTGCCAACACCCAGACCGCAAGTCACTTAGTGACAGTACCCGTGCAGAGTGGAGTTGTTCAAATATCTGGTCCGTCAGCGGCAACGGAAAGGTCTCCTTTATGGTAACACGATTCAGTTCTCGAAAGTCGACACAAACTCTGTAAGTACCGTCAGATTTTCTGGTGAGCAGCACCGGTGACGAGTACGGGCTGGTACTTTTACGGATGATACCTTTTGACAGCATATCGCGTACCTGTTTCTCCACCTCCGGCAGTATCTTGTGGAGTATCCTTCGGTACACAGGTTTACACGCAGCTCTTGGCATCAGTTCTATTTTGTGCTTCAACCAATCACAAAATCCATACTCGTCGTCCGCAGTAGAAAACAATTCAGAATACTTTTCAACGAATTGCTTAACACATGGAATCGAACACTCCGGAACGGCCGATTTCTTTACAACGCTGACGAGAGAATGCGTGACTACTTCTTTGACCACTACCATTATTTGTCACGCAAGTACCTAAGTAGAAAGAACAATAACTAATTCTGGACCATCAAGCATGAGCCAGAGTAGACGACACCCGGTCTTGCAGCCTCACCTTGCACTTTGAAGGTGCAAAGCGCATATCAAATTGAGTTACAGAACTTGAAGTCTGTCAAAAGGGCTTTGCGCATCCTCGATACATTCGAACAGACAAAAGATTTCGTTAGCGTACTCTAAATCGCACAGCTTTTCTCCAGTTGCCCATTCAATACCTACGACGTGAAGACCACTCAGCGCGTGCTCCAGTACTTTGTCTACGACGAACTTGAACGGGAATGGCGAAATAGGATACCTTTGACGAACAACACCGCTGGTTTCTAATGATTTGCTTCGCCCACCGTAGACCTTTAGGCTGCCCGAAGGATGCAGGTATTGTTTGTGATATGTTAACATGCTTCTGCGACATTCCTTCGCAGAGCAACGAGCCCATTAGGGATTCGTGGTCAACGGAATAGAAGGCTCCTTTTACGCCAAGGAATTCTGTGATGGTTGGTCACAATTCAAAGACTTCACGCAGAATGAAAATTTGGTCGATGCAACTGCGACCTGGTCGGAATCCTGCTTGCTGTTCGCGAATATTCATCTCTCTTAAGGGTGCTAGGCGGCGAAGTATCACAGAAGTTAATACCTGTTTTTTTTTATCACACACGTTCGTGTGATGAACAGCAGAGGGGGTGGAACCCCATAATCACGAGAACCTACTCTTCAGTGATGGAAACTGGTAACCTAAGCCCCGGGACTTGGAGTGGTAAACCACATAAGGCCCCGATAGGTTGGGTATTGAACCGGACGACAACAGAGCTGCCTACCACCAAAGTCGGGTTGCGGTGACGGGGCTCGAACCTCGGACCATCGGGTCTAAAGCACACCGGTGACAGCGACTAAACCGCTGCGCCACCACCACTCAGGTGATCATGAT